AAAGCAAGTATTTTGTAGATGGGAAGAAAGTTCTTGTGCAATGGAATCTCTATACGATATAGATCAGATCTCAAGAACAGTACCAGTTATTTTGGACAACTCAAAAAAATGGGATGATATAGTATCAAGAAGCATGAAACTAGAAGTGGGAGGAGTGGCACATGTGCAAGGAATTAGCAGAGGTGAACTCAAACAAAATCCCTTATACTCAACAGCTCTCATAATAAACCGCACTGCAAGCCCCCTTGCTTGGTAAGCACACAGGTTCTTGTAGTGCCTTTGTTTTAACTTCCTTCATCCGGACTTAATATTTTGTTCAGCAATGCCTATGCTAATTTTAACCAATTATTATGTCCAAACATTAAGCTCATATCTGAAATTCAGGTTTATGGAGTGCAAGGATCGCAAGAACCGCAGCTCAGTGATGTTATCCTACAATTTTTTGCCAAGTATGCCAGCACAAAAATTGAGGGATGCAGCAAATAAGGTTTTTTTTTTCCTCGCCTGTCTTGTTTATGCAGTCTCAAGAAATGGACTGGTAGTATGTATCTGTTTCTTTTCCTCAATCTTTTGGTTATGTTCATATTCTTGTTTCTTGTTAGAATGATTTGACCCAGTTGTTTCATACAATCCTTAAGCTGCACTGACCTTAAATTACGATTTGATGATGTACCTAAAGTGTGGAATTACTGCTGCTAACTGAACCCTAACATTGGATAAATGTTTGACGACTTTCATTTATCCATTCAAAACACAGTGTAAGTTCTGCAATTGTTGTTTTTTTGGTGGTGCATCCATAAAGCAAAGTATTATTATCCGCACCCTGCAAGTATAGATACTAGTTTGTCTACTCCTGTTGCACTTTCTTATGCCAAGTCATTAATATGGTATGCCAAGGCTGCACAGACTTCTGACTGGGCGAAAACAGAATTAGCTCAAGCCTCATGCCCTGAAACATCTTTAGATTTGTAGCTTGTCAAGCATACATCAGATTTGGTAGTATGGTTTTGGGTAATTGTTACCTTTACATGAGTTCTTAAATCAAGTTATTCCCTCTATTGTCATGTTCAGTAATATTCAATGCAGGCTATGATGCAACCCCTAAATCAGTTCCTCGGTTTCAGATGAAAGAAACACTTGGTGATTATGATGCTATTCATGTGAGACGCGGCGATCTATTGAAAAATAGGAAAGATAGATTTGGTGTCGAACGAAGCCTTCATCCTCATCTAGACAGAGACACCCGCCCTGAGTACATCAGAAAAAGAATTGCAAAATGGATTCCACCAGGTCGAACTCTGTACATTGCATCAAATGAAAGAACTCCAGGCTTCTTTTCCCCTCTATCAGACAGGTACTATCTGTGCTGCTTTTCCATTTCTCTTGTCCAACTAGGATCTCTGGCATTGTTTAAATTAGCATTTATCTTCCTCCTCCATCCTCCTAATGCATTGCAGAGCACTTCTTGGTAAGTGCAGTTGGAAAGCTGTCCTCATTCTTGCTATTTAGGATTACTTAAGCCAGTTAAATTTATTTTTCTGTTCACTTTCCATATTGCCATGGTTAAGCATTTTTTAGCTATAAGATGTTTTCATGTGTCTGGTCATGTCAGTTCTTCAATCTGTATACTGGTTAAATCCTATTCAGGTTTCTACATCCATGTGTGCTATTATATCAAGAAAATCACCTTGTGCTTACTGAAATTGTTTGCTCGTTTTTTGGAAACAATTCAGGTACAAGTTAGCATACTCGTCCAACTTCAGTAGCATATTGGACCCAATCATTGAGAATAACTATCAGCTATTCATGGTAGAGAGGCTAATGATGCAAGGAGCAAAGACATTTGTGAAGACAATGAGAGAATTTGACAGTGATTTGACCCTCTGTGATGATCCCAAAAAGAACACCAAAGTCTGGCAAAAGCCAGTATATACAGATGATTGACGCTAGCTGGCCATCGAATGTGATGCAGAGCTCCCTCTTTCAGCAACTTGACGGTCTGACATGGACAGCTGATTAAGCCTAAAGCTGGCATGGTAGTGTTTGCTGTTATTGCAGAAGCCAACTAAAATCAACCTGCAGCAGTGGAAATTCCACCCATGATTCACTTCAGCACATTTGTTCATATTACCACGTGTACTTATAATCTGGAAAAAAGCTAAAAGTATTGACCTTTTTTTCCCATTACTTACAATTAGGAAGTATATAGGTTACAAGAGAAGATTTGTTTGCAGATTTAGGATGCATACATGTTACATATCCTTCTGTACAATATGTGTAATATTGAACCGGCACCGTAAGGCTTCTGTGTGGAGAATATCATTAATTGGTTGTTTTCTTCTTTTAGCATTTTTGTTATACCTGCCGTCCTTCCGATCGACCAAAAAAAAAAACTATTTTTGGACTGCGACATGGTTTCTAGTAGTACTATATATATTTATAAACTTCAATAGATTTCAGCAAATCCCCAGGGTCAGAGTTTTTTTTAATAGATTTCCCAAACTGATGGTATTTCTTAAGGAAAATATACACCTGATGATATTCACGTTTTCAAACTAAATGTACGAAGTTATTGGTAGTTGTAACATCGAGTATTTATGACGGGTGAGTATTGTTTATTCGCTGTTTTGTGTATGTGCTACACTTGCTTTATTTACCTATCCCTCTGAGATGAGTATTTTTTTGTCTCTTTAGAAGACACCAAATGTCTCTCCTATCTGATATTTATCAAGAAAAATAACAGTAGCCAATTGAAGAGAATGTGACGCCTAAGGGTTAAATTAGACGACTTAAAAACCACTACTAACTATGGTCTCTAATTTTCTTATATAGTCAAAACCTATGCAAAAAATAAACTATCTAGATGCGTAACTAAGGTTTTGCTAAGTGTGTTGCTATCTCTACAGCAAGAGAGTTATGCAACCTAAGTTACAATCCTATCAACTAGCCTATGAAACTAAGTTAGGAAGGGAAGCACACAACCAAGGTACATAATATAAATATGGAAGCTAAAGTGTGGTAGAGATGTGAACTTGCATCGACGACTCTGGTACTTTTACTGAGGTATCGAGAAGCTCTTCGCTTCCTCCTAGTCCTCGTTGGAGCCCCTCGCAAGGGCCAAGCTCCCAGTCAGATAACTCCGTGAATAGCCCCCGAGCCTTCCCCACGTGCAAGTGGGTCTCTGAGATGGCCTCTCCCGGGCTGCTCCCCGCCATTTTCACTATCGAGCTTCTGACCAAACCACCACGTGCCTTATTCCCGTCGATACACAGTGGTGGCCACAACACAAACGCGGTTGGTGTGGTCTCACAAGACTATATATAAGCCCATCCGATGTACAACAATAATGTACGCAAGCAACGAGTGAGAAGAGGTATGTAAACCTCACTAAACACTAGGTCTATACCTAGAGCAAACGCATTTAGTGGTGGTCTAACTAGCCTAATAAGCACTTCGCAAAACACTTATACTAATCACCATATGAATACTATGCAAGTGGAGAGCACTAGAATGAAGCACCAACTCTTTTATTATGTTCCTCAGCTCCCTCATATCTCGAATGACTGGTTTGGGTGGCATTTATAGGCCCCAAGTTTAAAACTAGCCGTTGCCAAAAACTACAGCATTCTGTACATCGGACATGTCCCGTGGTAGCACCGGACCTCTAAGAGTCCGACCGTTGGAACTTGACCATTGCGTTGCTTTTCTTTGAGCACGGACCTCTACACCGGACATGTCCAGTGGTTCAATGGATGTCACCGTTACGTCCTGTGTACACCGGATTTCAGTACCAAACTTATGCACCGGACTTCACACGGGAAATGTTCGCTGCTCAATTTTCAGCGTAATACAATTTCGTATTTCGGGCATAACTTTTAGCTCTAAACTCAGATTTTGATGATCTTAGACTTTTGGAAAGCTAATGAAAAGCTCTACATCTTTGAACTGATGTCATGTCAATTTGAGCAGATCCAAAATCATGAGACAATTCCAATTCATCCGCCTCTTTGTCCCGGCTTCAGTGACTTCAATTCTGTTTATTTCTTTACGTCCGGGCTTCTACTTCTTGGTGTCTTAGACTTCTAGTATGTCTTGCAGGCCTTCAATATGGCTTCTAATGTTTTGCTTGAAAGTGTTGATCATTCGGACCGTCACTTTTTCTAAGTCCAAGTCCACCTTGCATCCATTTGAACTATACCTTATATACTAGCAAACATTGTTAGTCCAAATCGTCATGTTATTTATCAAACATCAAAATCCAAACTTAATAGCCCATAGGGTCCATTGCCCTTACAGTCTTCCCCTTTTTGGTGCTTGATGACAACATAATCAAAGCAAGCAAATAATAGATACCAAATGAAAAGGTCACTTTCTACTTGCTAGGATGCAGTGCAAGAGCAAGAACATATGATGCTAAAGTTTCCAAATGAATAGAAACATAGAGAATACTTATCTTGCCCTTGCCATTGTATACATGTCCCATTATTTGGCATTATGGACTTATATTTTAGTGTGATTATGTCTGATGGCCCTAAGGACTTGTTAAATTTTTTTTTAAGAACTTAGGTGTCAAGATTTATAATTTGCATAGGCCAAGGTTATCGATTTAATTTTGAAGGCCCAATTCTCAACCCCCTATTGGGACATTCGGTCCTTGTCATGACAAGTTCTCAGGGAAAACACATACTTTATTTTATTATCACGATGATTATAGTGTATTAAATTAGTAAACGGTAATTATTATGAGAATTTCTAAGATCAGTCTGAATTCGTTACAGCAATACCGAAACCATTCCTTTGAGAAAAGATTAGTGATGACGGCATGCAGATCGAGACCATAATATATAACAGGTAAAAAGGGCAAAGAAAATCAAAAGTAGGGGTTCTAATCAACTTACATAGAATCGTAGCCTAGCTACCGAGCTAGCTTCCTGCAGCGACATACGTACCTCTCCTTCTCTATCCACCAAATTAGTCTACGCGACACGCAACACAGTCACCTACGTCTCACTTCGCCGATCATCGTCACTAACGCCATGGCCATTGTGCTCACCATCGCCAAGGCTTTCACCTTGCTCATCATCGCCTTTTTCTTCCAGCGGCACGACCTGCTGTGCCCTTCTCTTCTTGCCGTCGTTCAGGCGCACGCCAAACAGCTTCACCGGCGCCACATCATCGCCGCGTGGCCTCCACGTCGGTGCCGAGGTGTCGCTGTCGGTAGAGCCGAGCTCCACCAGCCTGCAGCTGGCGGTCGTCGTCGCCACCGGTGGTGACACCGGCTCCACGTTGTTCTGCAGGAAGTATATGATGTCGTTGTAGAGCCTCCTCATGTGCGCCAGCTCTGACAACAGCAGCGAGTTGCGCCGCCGGAGCTCCCGGTTGTCCTCCGACAGGGTCGCCAGGAAGTCCTTGCGGCCGTGGTCCTCCTCCTGGACGTGGTAGCCCGACGGATGCCGAGGCGGCTGCGGCGGCAAGAAGAGGCTGAGGTAAGGCTGGTGCTGAGGGAGCGGCGGCTGCAGCTTCTGCGGCGATTGCAAGCACGATGAAGACTTCCTCCGGTGGATCTCCGAGAGGAGGTGCTTAGCGCCCTTCCTGAAGAACTCGTTGGCGAACTCACACCTGTCTGCCACGATCTTCCTGAAACCCTGCAAAAGGCCAAAAACCATGCTAATTAGCTACAAGGGCGGTGCAAGTTCGAATGCTTAGTTGTCTCAAGTCTCAACTCACAGCTCGGAAGCTAGTATGGAAAAATGTTTTAAATCTTCGGATAAGACATTCAGCGAATGGCCTCTCAAACACTTAATAGCAGTTTTAAATGAGGTTATGTTAGTGGGTTATAGCCTGCTAAATTGTATACGGACATAAATAGATTGATTTGCGTTAAACAACTATATATATATATATATATATATATATATATATATATATATATATATATATATATATATATATATATATATATATATATATATATATATATATATATATATATATATATATATATATATATATATATATATATATATATATAGCGGGCTACGGCGGCAGCTATAGCCGAGGATTTAAAACCTTGTAAAAATCGGTGCTACATGAAGTCATGAACACAATATATACATGATGCCACAGGATGGAGTTTGTCTACTGTACTTGCACTGCAAATGCTCATGTCAATCTCTTCTCTGACAATGATTGGGAGACAAATATCACTGCAAAAATGTACTGTTTATTTACTGGTGCCTGAGAAGCATGATGAATGCATCCATGGTTTGTTTTTTTAGATGAGAGGAGGGTAAAGATAAGATGGATCTTGTAAATGTAATGTAATGCAACTACTTTTATTGTTGTATATTGTGAAAAGTTTTGGTCTGCAAACCATGAACTCTGCAGGTGGTAGGAAGCAATATCGCTAGAACTGAGGTTTCAAATTGAAAAGAACGTAACCAAGCTCAGTCCTCAACAAAGAACCAATGAAATGAAAGTGGTAGAAGCTAGAATATATTTATGTTCTTTTTTGGAGTCCAGGAAACAAAAAAAGGGTAGACAGAGGAAGCACAATAGCTAGCAGTGGTTTTCAAATCTAGCAACAAGACGGTACATGTCCTCTGTATCTATCCTATTCTTCAGTCCACAGCCACTGCCCAGAAACAAACATCTCTTGTCACGTTCTAGGAAACACGAAATTGAAATGATGAAACGTCACCAGTCACCACCAACCAACAGGTGGTCTTAAAATCTTCAGACATATGCATGCATGTGACACTCGTCTTTTCGCCCCCCACTGACCACCAGACCTCGCAGCTAATTACTTAACACCACAGCCACACACTAGGATCTCGGCAATATGCTGTACATGTGGGTTCAAATTAAAAGCCTATCGACCAGAGCCCAAAACTACGTCAGAGCGCCATTTGGGTTGCACAGGTCGAAAACAAGAGCTTCCAAATCAAACCATGCAAAATTAAATCCAAATGATGGAGAAGCACACACTGAGACGCACGCAGATAAACACACACTCACAATCTGAGCATGCGCGGCTAATATGTATGTATCATCACTCACATAGGTGTTGAGCTGCCTGACGAAGCTGGAGAAGTTGTTGTGCTTGAAGTAGTTGGGGAGGAGGTCCCTGGCGAACTCCGGCGGCTGCCACACCACGAAGGTGGCGCCGTCCTCGCCCCACGACACGATGTGGTCGGTGCGGTGATCGTCCACGAGCTGGAAGGTCTTGGTAAGGAAGGGGGCCGGCCCGGCCGGCTTAGCAGCGTGCGAGCTTATATCCATGTCGTCCATGGACGACACCACCGTCGTCGTCTCACCGTCACCACCACCACACCGCCTCCCCACGAGGAATGCCGCCATCGACTGGTGCAGTGCAAGAGGAGGCAGGCAACACTGCCGCTCTATGCTAGATTGCTGCTAGTGCGAGAGAGAGGAGACGACAGGATCGTCGGAGAAGCTATGAAGGGGCTCTCTACCTCTCCCTAAAGCTTACTTATTAGTTCTCAGACTGGAGCGCACACATGCACGCCCACAGCACAGGGCACCACCTTCAAATAGTCTTGCTGGGTACCGGCGGTGGGGCACTGTCCGGCCCTCTAGCTCGAGCTACAGTCTCCTCCAATCTCTGTCCCCATCTCTCTCTCTCTCTCTCTCTCTCTCTCTCTCTATACATGCATATGCATGGATATCTGTGCGTGCGTGCCTTCCTGCACGCACTTCCGCTTGGCACGTACTAGCTCCACTTGGTTTTTAGGAGGGGCTGCTCAGTGGTCACACGAGGAATTCCATGGCATGTATATGTATGCATAGATATACCTGCTGCTGCTGTGCAACTGTTTATGACTTGTACAGTGAGTGCGTGATTGTATGTACAGTATATATATATATATATATATATATATATATATATATATGTGTGTGTGTACAATGCCTCGCTAGATAATACTAGACACAATGTATATAGACACACTATACTCCCTTCGTCCCTAAATGTTTATTGTTTTCGTTTTTCGAGAAACAATTTTGACTAAATATATATTAAAAATATTAATATTTATGATACATAATTAATATCATTGGATAGATATTTGAATCTAGTTTTTTAATAAATTTATTTGGAGATAGAAATGCTACGCGTATTTTCTATAAACCGAGTCAAAGTTATGGGCACGTAAATCGTGTCAACTAATATTTAGGGACGGAGGGAGTATGTACGTGAATTATATATGCGAGAGAACAATATATATATGCATAGTGACATGCAAACGTACAGGGGTTGATTAATTGATCGATACTTTCTCGTCATGCATGAACATAATTGAACGTTTAATTATAGAATAACCGTACATATGGATCATGCCTTAACTACAAACACTAGTACAATTGATGCAGCAGCCGGTCAGCAGAACCCTAACGTTTCAAACCAAGTTGTTCTTCTCCTTAAACACTAGCAATGAACACTAAATAAAGGTGATTGATAACTGACGCTTACGATCATCTGACACCGCTATATATGTAAGACGTACTAGCAATCACCTGACTCTAATTAATGTCAGCGATGAATATATTTCCACACACGTACACTACAACAAAAGTGATTTTACGAGACAACTTAATTTTATTTATACAGACCTCATCGTGCGGCATTCGACATGTGCTGACCTGGATAAGACCCGTTTAGCACATCTCTCGGTCGACATGCTGTGGTCAAATTTAATAAAGGCCAACTTAGTCCAAACCTATATTGACATTCTTCTTGTGGCGAAGGGAATAGTGTTTATCAAGTAGTTCCTCCATCCCAGAATAAACGAACATCTTCATTTTCGAGAAGTCAACTAATTTTTTATTTGAATGGATTTATAGAACATAGTATTAACATTTGTATATCAAAATAGGTTTACTATAAAAATATATGTCCTAATTAACATAATGATGCTTATTTGGTACCATGAATATTAGCATTTTTTTATTTTCCTATATTCAGTCAAATTTGAGATTAGTTGATTATCCGAAAGGGGAGATATGTATTTATTTTGGGATAGAAATAGCAAGGAGACTACTAAAGTCCAATTTACTAATTTAAGTTCCACCGACTTCTTATTAACTAATTCCCGGTTTTGTCTATACATGGACCAGAGCCAGACTACCAGAGGACCGTGTTATGAGGTCATAAGGAAGATGATAGGTGGGTTTGATAGGCCGTGTCTATTCAATTTTGGATAGTAGTGGGACGCAGGCTGTTCAATGACATTCTCCTTCACCTTGTGTCCGTCGTCTTACTTGAGGAGATAGACATTGACTTTACGGAGCAGCTGATCAGTATTGGAGAGGGAAAATGTGAGTTGGATGGCAAATGTGTGGGCAGAATCAAATGTGTGATTTGGATGGCACTGTTTTGTAGGTAACGTGGCGCAGTGTGAAGCCTCTATCTATATAGGTATATATATAGAAAATAGAACAGGGTAGGATTTACCTTTTGTGCAAAGGAGATGCAGAGGGTTCTGGAGGGCAATAACTGGAATTGCAGTCCCTCTATCCCTTTCCCCGTTCCTTTTATCTGATGCTTTTGTCTCAGTCTATGTCAAGTTAGCACCAATAAGCTGAGATATAGTCCCTCGGTCCCAAAATAGATGTCATTCTCGTTTTCTGAGAAGTCAAAGACTTTTAACTTTAACTAAATATATATATATATATATATATATATATATATATATATATTAATATTTATAATATATAATTAGTATTATTAGGTAGGTCGTTGAATATACTTTCATAATAAATTTATTTAAAGATATAAATATTGCACGTATTTTCTATAAATCTAGTTAAAATTGAAAAATTTGATCTACAACATCCCGTAACTACTTTTATTTTGAGACGGAGGAGTACTACCGCTGCACTCCATGCACACATCAAATTCTGGGCAGGCATGGACCATGGTGATGCATCTCAAATACCACATATACCCTGCAAATAACATAGCACGTATTCAGAAGCATCAGTGCATGCAGGTGTAAATGGCCTGATGGCAAATGTCCTGCATTAGATACCTCACCAGCTGCAATCAGCTTTAGCAGTGAAGCATCAGATAAAAGTCATAACCCACAGGGAGAGTGGAGGGCAGATATATAACGTAGTACAAACATGCATTTGTGAGTGTCTCCAATAAAAAAAACCATATAAACATCCAAACCTAAAATAGATAGCAAGAGACCCAAAAACCAGTCTTCAACAGAGTATCTATACGGAGAGATTTATTTGGGGTTACCTGAGAGACACAACTCAAATATGGATATCCTCTCTCCTGAAAAATCATTTGCAGAAATGATTTTTTTTTGGATCTTATTATTGGAGAAGATGCCGAATAAGTATTGAACTTTTTACCTGAAACGCTACCCAAAGACGAATGTGTCACATATCTGGGTTGTTGTTGAGATAGCCCGAGAACACTCAAACGAATTACTGCTTCGTGTTACGTGGCAGTTGGATGTTGGAATTTGAATTTGGAAGATTCTGCTCCATACATGACAAAGCTGCTTTCATGATGTGTTTGGAGAGAGACATTTTATGAGTAGCACATCACATGACCTTTTCCCACCCCACGTGTGGCCCACTTCATTTGTGTCCTCTTGGCAGGTCAAGATCTGTCTTTGACTGGCTACATCAGATTAACAACCCCCCACCCCCACCCCCGCTACACACACACAGAGAGAGAGAGAGAGAGAAATGATGATCTCATATGCAGATGGATTGAGGCCAGAACTTTTTTTTATGACATCATGTATTCCATATTACAAATAAATTAACAAGCTCTTTGGACAAGAGTATCTGGCATGTTTGGTTGGTTCCCTTGAGACCCTTGGGCTCAATTATGTTGGGTACTAGATTTTTCTGTTGAAATACATTTACATACCAGATAATCTAAGCATTTTTCGCTTCATACAACTTCAATATAATTGGCCACGTTTGGCTTACCCTATGTTCGGCTTGTTTTTTCAGCCGCAACTGTTTTTTCTCAAAACAATTCAGCCGGAACAGTGTTTTTCAGCCGGTTTCAGCCAAGATTCAGACCAACGAACGGGGCCATTAATATGAACTGACAGCTAGCTACTTTTCATGGAAAAAACCCTGCTGCTTTACTGTCCTTTTGAATCTTCAGAATTTTAAAATTATTGGTTTTGCACATTTGAGGTAGGGTACAAACTAGAAACAGCAAGAACATTTGAACAGGGAGATTAGGGGGTGAGTCAAGAGTATTTTACCAGGACAACAGGTCATTATTTTCAAAACAAAAATGCTTGACGGTTGGTTCAAATATCTGTGGCATGCACCAGGCTGATAGCTGACTGGTTTTAGAAAAACTGATAAATGACAGAATAGCCATTGATGATGAATATCTCTGTCTCTACTCTCTATCTTGTCTCTATCTCTATCTCTATCTCTATAATACACCACTCCAAATTATCCTATAGCCACCAAACAAATACCACCTCCTCTATAGTCATATAATAAACTATATCCACCACACAAAACATACACAGAGATAGACCACACTAAAAACATACGCACCAGATTAATCCTCGCGTATTCTCTCTCCTTACTCAGCCACATCCGACGGTCCTCCCCTCACCATCGCCCCCCCACGCACTGCTACCAGGGTTCGATCCTCGTGCGGTCATGCGGTTGTATTTTCTGAAAAAAAGAAACATCGTCTCCTCTCCCCTCCCCGTACCGATCCCTCTCTTCCAGACCGCCATCGCGATGACAACTCCTCCTCTCTCTCTCCCCCCACAGACGAACACCAGGCGACACGCGCGACTCCACTCCCGCGGCCGTCTGCATCGACACCCTCGCTCGGGGAGAATCCAGCGGCGGCGGCGGCGGCTCTCGGCCACGATTATCGCCGCACGCGGGGCTGCGGCGGCGCCCGACCGTGGCTCTCGGGGCATGCGGGGCGGCGGCGGCACTCGACCACGGTTCTCGGCGCACGCGGGGCTACGGCGGCGCCCGACCATGGGGGGCTTGGGGTGCGTGGGGCGGCGGTGGCGGCGGCCGGCCGAAGACACCGCTGCCCTGTCCGTCGGGGCCGCAAGTCCAGTCGCATCTGCAACGAGCGCCCCTCCGAGATCCATGGCCGCGCTAGCGAGCTGCTCGTGGCCGTGCGGCACTCCATGTTGGTGTAAAAATCAGGTACTTGAGTGGAGCGCGGTGCTACTTGAGCTGGACAGCAAACGAGGGAAGAGGAGGACACCGCTACAGCAATTGAGGAGCAGATCTAGGACACCTCAGCGGACAGGAGGATGCCGCGACGGCGCTTGAGGAGCATATGATTTCTATGATTTCTTCTGGATTATTACCTT